AACTGTAAACATTGAGGCTGGGAAGCCAATAGGAAGTCTATAGTCAAAATTGTTTTTAAAAAGAAACTATTAATAACAAAGAGAATGATTCAGGGCCTGGATCCACAAGGTATGATATTCAGACGAACTGAGAATGTTGGAGTTTTAGAAGAGGTAGCTATGTTATCAAGCAAAAACAAAAGTTGTTGTGGGTTTTTCAGGCTCTTTGGCCATGTTCTGAAGGTTGTTCTTCCTGACGTTTTACCAGTCTCTGTGGCTGGCATCTTCAGAGGACTGGAGTAGGAACTCAGAGGCCACAGAGACCACAGAGACTGGCGAAATGTCAGGAAGAACAACCTTCAGAACACGCCCAAAGAGCCCGAAAAACCCACAACAACCATCAGATCCCGGCCGTGAAAGCCTTTGAGAATACAAAAACAAAAGGTTTTTTTAAAAGGACAAAAGCTTTGTGGCACCTTAAAGACTATTATATTTTAATGTAAGCTTTCATGAATATTCTTAGCCCACTTCGTTTTGTCTTTTCAAAAATGTTTCATTTGTTTATTTTTGCCTGATAAGAAAGTTTGAATAACTAGCTGCACGAGTATGTGGATCTCCCTCCCTCCCTCCCTCTCATTTTTGGTAAACCTCTGATCCAATTGTTCCAAAGGGCATAGAAAGAAGAGGCATCTGATGATCTTTCCATGACCACAGAAGAATAGAGAAATACCTGGAGGAAATAATTTCTTTCCCAAGGATGCTGCTACCCTATCTTGTCAATCAAGATCCTGTCCAAGGCACCTGAGTGGTAGCACTCAGGTCTGCCATCCTTATGTTCTTCAAGATCTTTGGATCTCTCCATCTTGCAATTCCTTGACTTTCCAGTGGAAAGTCATGCTCATTTTTCAGAAACAAACTTTACCATATACAGTACAATGAAAGCTCCTAGTCAGTTCATGAGATCAAGATCCTTTCCCTAGAGATGAATTTATGAGTAACTTTTCTTATCCAAAAGATAGAACTCTAAGGCTATAGAGACAACATTTAGAAATGACTGGAGATGTCATAGAACACTTGTTTTTTTTCAGTTCTCTGTTTCACAGCTATATTTTCAGAGTTATATAAGTATCTCTTCAGCCATTTAATTATTTGCATAGAATAAAGAAAAAACACCAAAAAACAAACAAACTGAACAGCGGGTAAAACTGTGAAGTAAAGTAAGTCTTTGGCTAGTTTGTACAAGTGATGCCTTTTGACATTCCCCATATTTCTAAACTAAGTCTTTGGTAGTGCTCAGATGTCAAAATAAATCATGCAGAATTGTGCACTATTCCCATCTCCTCCTTTACTGCAGCTGTAAGAAGGGGTTAGGAAGAGTTTGTTCCCCTGTTGATAAACCACAGTTTATTGGTGTTGCCTTAGACACCAGAAATCTGGATTAATTTTGAAATAAGCCACCTTCAGTTCATGAGTTATGAAGCTAATGGCTAAGATCAATCACAGTTTGTGTGTAATGCTGAAGTAAGTTTATTTTTTTAAAAAAAAGAAACAAAGGGGACTGTGGCAAAGATGGGAATGCACAAACAGGAATAGTGGTTGTGTTAGCTGGGCTCAGTCCTGATTCATGAATTCAGCTTTTCTTTGCACCTAGGTCACATTTAATTCAATTTCAGTTTTGTCCATTGCTGCGGGCAAAATAAACATTTGCATGTTTCCTAAACCTTAACAAATACTAATAATGACAATGGGTCTGTGAACCTATAGTTACCAGAATAAATATGTTATGCATTGTATGAATGGAAGGGAGGGCTCAAGCCAATATCAGAAAATAACTGGGTCAATGATCCTGAGATAGTTATTCTGGAAGATAATGAAATAACCCTGTGTTTAGTTTCTGCTAACACAATAAGTTGGAACATTTTGCATGTGAATGAATAGATACAATGAAACAAATTCACAGAGAACATCTGTGCTTCTAATAGTGACAAAGAAAAGGCCAGACAGTAACCATGAAACTTTGATCCATACAGAAGAAACTTTTTAGTAAAATTCCAACATTTAATTAATTTAATAAATAGAAACATGATTGACTTTAAAGGAACCCTACTAACTCACTAATCTTTCACATTTTTTTAAGATTACTTTTTAACATTTACAAAGATTGCAGATGATGTGCCATCTTTTTTGTAAAAAAAGGGCTTTCCTCCATTATTTAAAAAAGAAAGGAAAGAATATGTCACTTTCTAATCTGCAAATACTGTATCTACAGACTTATTATTAATTAACACACTGCTATTCTATGCATGTCTGCTCAAAACTATGTCCCAGTAAATTCAATTAGACTTACTGCCAAATAAAGGTATACAGAATTGTTGCCATTGTATCTAGTGGTGAGATTAAAATCTAAGCAAACATGTAACATAAAATTCATACAAATGAGTGCCAAGTAGCTATTTTGTGACAAAGCAGTGGCTGCATCTCCTGGATCTTTTTCCTTGGTTAAAGCTGGGGGGCAGGGAGATCCACTGTCAATTAACCCATATACTCCACTGCAGCTTCTAACATAAAATTTCAAAAGAAAACACTCAAGGATTTCCCCCTTTAGTCCTCTAACTGGGTGACAGTCTTACTTATCATTGAAACAGACAGCATTGCAGGAGAAAACTAGGCAGTAAAAGCGCAAGTGCTGACAGAATGCAGGGTGTGGTGCTGCGAGAGTGTGTGAATATGAGCAGCACATTCAGTAAAAAAACAACCTAAAGTTTACATTCTACAGCTGCTGAGAGAGACATCAATGGATTTCTAAATGACTCTTCACATTCCTAGGAATGCTAACTAGAGTGTAATGTAGTAGATAGAGTGATGGACTAGAATTCAAGAGACCTGGGTTCAGATCCCCACTTGGCCATGGAAAGTCACTGAGTGATACAGTATTACAGGAGTAAAAATACTCCTTAAATATCTCATATACATTGGAAACCCTACTGGGATTCACCTAACTTCAGATTGACTTGATAACGCACAACACAATAACATTAGCAAGTACATACATACATAAAACTTCCACATTAAAGGGCATATTGTAGCAATTCTTGAATTTAATAGGGCTTGATCCCTGCTTTCTTAGCACTGAGATTGTGGCCAGATTTCACTAAGAAACATGCCAATGACCACCAAAAAGACAGATAAACAGGTATTTGATCAAATAAAGCCTGAATTTTCTATAGAAGTAGTTAGAAGTGAACTGAGGTTATAATATTTTAGGCACATAAGAAAATGAGGCTCAGCAAAAAAAATGATAATGCTGGGAAAAGATGAAGATGGCAGGAAAAGAGGGATAGCAAATATGAGATGGATTGACCTAATAAAGTCAAACAGTCTTGAGTTTGTAAGGTTGTTAGTGGTAGGACCTCAGAACAATCAGTAATTCACAAGGATACCATAAGTTAGAACAGACTTGACAGTATAGACTTGACACCAACAATAGGATCCTCTCATTACAGTGGGACTTCCAAGCAAGTATGCAGCTGCCTATTCCTATGTGTATTTATTCAAAAATAAAACCCATCTGAGCCACCAGTACAGTGTAGCCAGACTAGCACTCAGAAAAACCAGGGTTCAGTTTCCCACTCCATCATGGAAACTCACTGGGGAGTGGAAATGTTAAGACTACTCTTTAAATACCTCACATATAGCCTATTAGGATTGTCAACAAAGGATCAGAGCTGAGATGAGTGCAGAACGATGAGCCCAGCAACCTTAGCAAGAAAAGCTAAAGACATCATAGACAGATGATGTATGACCGGAGGCGGTTCAACTCCAGGACCAGAGGTCATCTTATAAACTTCTGAACAACAGAGAAAATTTAAGAGCAAGATATCCCCACATTCATCTGTTGGGGAGGGGGAATATCAAGATGTGAAATTTTGTGGGTATAGAGTGTTTTCCTTCAAAGATTCAAACTGGTTAGTTGAGCGAGCATTTAGAATTATTGTGTGCATGTAAGTATTTTTAATATGCTTAAACACTAAGTATTATTTAATGTTCCAATGCTTTTTGCTTGTTTAGAGATGTATTCTCTCTTTTGATTTTTCAAGCTGCCTGTTTAGGCTATAAATTCTTACAATTTAAAGATGTAACTAATACATGATTTTTATCATATTTCTTTATTCGATGGTATTTTGGATTGAGTTCTGACTTAAGTGTTTTCCTGCAACTTAAGTTTGGTTTTCATACGTTTTTAAGCATTTGAGCCTACAGTTTTTATAGCTGTAAGCCTTTGGAATTTTGACAACTTTGAAGTAATTTTCTGCTTATGGAACATAGAAGCAATGTAGATAAATCTTGTGGGATTAGACAAGTCGATGTTGCCTAAAATTATTGCAACAATGACAAGACATGCTCAGATTGATATGATTGGAAATGATTGTCTAGTTTCATTTTGGAGTTAACCCCTTTTTGAGATATATTCCAGCTGTGGTGAATACAATAAAATAATGTGGGGCCTCTTAGGAAGATGTTCAGGCACTATAGTCCCTGACCTGACAGGATCACCATTAGTTGACATGTGACTTGACAGCATATAACAAAACCTAGTAAGATGAATGTCCTTCTAGTTAGGCTGAAATCTCAATGAGTGGAAGTGAGACATAACGGAACTAAATTGGAATCAAATCTGGATGCTTTTGTCTCTTGTAAGAACACTTTTGATGAAAAATACAGTACGTAGAAAACTCATTGTGCAGGAGCTAAACGTTATCGATTTTCCTCACAGCGAAGTACGTCCTTGTTAGAGACAACCCTAGTATTACATTATAGGCACATTCAGAAGGGTAGCGCCTATTTTGCAATTTGTTTTCTCCCTGTCAAGTCTTTCCTCCTGTACTCCTTCAACCCATCAAAGCCAAGGATTGGAAATAGTCAAGGACTGGAAATAACTCGATGGAGATTCCGCCCCTTCCCTCATCCTGGCGCCCGAGGAGGAAGGGGCGTTCTTTACAAAGGCAAGACTTCAACGGAAAGCCACCGCTTTCTTCTTCGGCTGGAAGATGTAGACCTGAAGCTGGCCCACCTTAGGGAGTACGTTGCCCGAATGTGACTCCAGGTCAACATCATCAGCCACAGCCTCTGCTGTGCCTGCGCGGCTGCGTCGGTGAGACAAAAGTGTGTGTGTGTGTGTGTGTGTGGTGTGTGTATGGAGCTCTCCGTCGTTGACCCAAGTGGCTGGCCTGGAGAAGGGGGCGGGGGCTCCGCCTCTTCTGCTTCCCTATTAATATTGCATCCCGGGGGCTGAGGCGGACGGGCTAATTCCCTTCTTTCTTGTCTTCCTGACGTTGCACACATACCTACAAAGACGCGCACGTTGCCGCGCCTCGACCAGAAGGCTGTGCTGCCACTCCGGCCACGCACACGGATGGCACGCTGCTGTCGCCGCCGCCACTGAAGCGCTTTACACGCGCACACATGCGAGGATTAGCCGCCGCCGCCGCCGCCGCCTCCTTCTTTTCCCTCCATCCTCCCACCCTGTGTTTTGACTTCTGCGGTGTGCGTTGTGGTTCCCGGCGCCGTTTGACTGCTCGTCCGTGCGCTACTTAACGGGTAAGAAGGAGCGGGAAGAGAATGGCGGGGAAGGATGTAAGGGTTGCGGGCTCCGGGAGGAGCCTTGGGGGAGGAGGAGGAGGAGGAAGGCGAGGAAGAGAACCTTCCAGCGGGTACCAGTGCGCCGTGGTTTTGACTTCTGCGGTGTGCGTTGTGGTTCCCGGCGCCGTTTGACTGCTCGTCCGTGCGCTACTTAACGGGTAAGAAGGAGCGGGAAGAGAATGGCGGGGAAGGATGTAAGGGTTGCGGGCTCCGGGAGGAGCCTTGGGGGAGGAGGAGGAGGAGGAAGGCGAGGAAGAGAACCTTCCAGCGGGTACCAGTGCGCCGTGTGGCCGCTTACCTCCCGAGGGGGGGGGGAAGGGCTGCCTTTCTCTCAGCTTTCCGGCTACTACTACCGCACCGCTGCGGTTTTTGGCTGCTCGGAGGTTTTGCTGGGGAGGAGAGTTCTCTCCCTTCTTCGCGCCCTTTCGCTCGGGCCACTCGGTTCCTTCTCTCCTCCTCCTGGGCAGCATCCACGGAGGGTGGGAAGAAAAGGGTCCCTGTTGCGTGGAAGGTGAATATGCTGTGGGATGTCTGCGGGCGCGCGCTATGTGTTTGTGGGGAGGAAAGACGCGGAGGGGGGGGTGCCTCTCGCCCTCGGGCTCGCTCGCTCCCTCACACAGACACACACAAACGTGTGTGACGCCTTTCATGTCGGCGGTGCCTATTTCGCATACGGTTAATCAGGTTTGCTGGGAGATTTTCTGAGGAAGGAGTTAAAAGAGCCCCTCTCCCTTTCTGCTGTCGTTTCTGTGGCAGCCTCTTATGGCGGGGTGGGGGTGGGGGAAATTACGCGGGGTGGCCTTCATGGTTTTTATTTTATTTTAAAATTTTTTTGTAATGAGGCGTGGGTGGCAGAAAGAGAGCTGAGGAGGGACTTCTTGAAAGTGCCTCAGCCGTGCCAGCCTTGCGGGACTGGGCGCGCGGTACAGGGCTGTTGATTCCCGGTGGCTCGTGGAGCAGTTGCCCTCGCGGGTCTCTCTTTCTCTCCCTCTCCTTGTGTGTGTACGTGCGTGTGTGGCGGGCTGTGCGCATGCTTCCCACGCTTGTGGTTTCGGGCATGTTCTAACCCCCAAATCTAGTGGCAGCAACCAGAGGAAAAAATGACTGGAAGGGTGCGGGGGGGGCACAGGAGGAGCACAGTCTATTTCTGAGCGGGGCGAGCTCCACGTGGTAAGAAGACCTCTGAAAGAAAGAAAAAAACACACACATACACACAGAGTAGTTGTCTGTTTCACGCTAGAACTGCCATGGTAAACATATTTTCACGAAGTAAGTCCTATTAGGTGCCATGTATTTCCTTCAAGTGATGACAGGAGTCCAGCAAAGGCGGGTGGGGGGGGAAGGCTCCTTGTGTGGGGGCGCGGCCCCCTCTGATCGCCACGGACTTCTTTTAGGCGAAAAGTATGAACCGTCCCTGGATGTACCTTCCGGGGCTCCTGCAAAGGAGGAGGAGGCTATTAAAAGTCAGGGCATGCCTTCCGACGGAGACGTCGTTGCTCGGATTTGTGTGGCTTTGCAAACTGTCCTGCTCTGTTTTTCTTCTGGTTGTGATGTACCCGCGTATGTGTGTGCTCTAGGTCCCAACAACAAATTCTGACAAATTTTATCCTTTGCTAAGTGACTCCTGTAAATGGGTAGCTTGAAAGCAAGTACTGACTTCTTAACAGGGCTCCTGCGGGCTGGAACAAATTACACTTTCTTTTGTGGGGTGTGCAGCTGCTCGGAAGCCTGTTTGGGGGGGGGAGAGGAGCAACTGAAGGCAGCCTTAAGGGGGACTGCACTGCTGTATTTTTTTTTAAAGGGGCAATCTCTTTCTTGAATAAGGATGGCTAAAAAGACTGGGTAGGATGTACGTATCATTTAGGCGTGTTTCTTTCTTTTGGTCTTCCTTGCATTTGTCCTAGACAGTGTTTCAGAACTATTGATAATCAGCTGTATGACTTCTCATCCAAGCAAATCATACACTTTTTACTTTCTTGAGTTGTACGAAACTGGATAGGCTGAGTGCGAAGGTCAAAGCTTTTAATTCTGGCAACTGTCTTGTCAGTCACTGGATCAATATAGTGCTAAAGAAATTGGGTATCTTTTGCATTGCAATATCTGGAAGTACTATTAAAATATAACTGGTGATGAAATAAAGGACTTGGTATATCCTGCTCCCTTCCTTGTAAATAATTGGTGTGATCTCTTTGAAGAATTTGAAAGTTAAAGAAGAGTAAAGGTAATATGTTTAAAGATTCTTGAAGTTTTCATGGAAGTAGCCATATTTCTTTTTCCCACTAAAACTGACAGGTTTTATTTAGCATCAGTTTTTATGGACATACTACACTTCTCCAGATGCATGCTCTGTCCTTTAAAGCTGGTTTCAAATAAGATTTGTTAGTGTTAAAAGATGCCACACGACTCTTAATTCTTGATCTGTATCATTGTACCAGGAGCAATTAGTGAAACTGCCCTGCTTTAAGAATATGGGGTTTCAATATGAGTTCGGTCTTTAACAAGAAATATCATGTAGTAGGAAAAATTGTGGATATGCCCTCTCTGATAGTTCCTCCACTTGAACATTGATTGATAGCATGCACCTAAGTCGCACTTGCTTTATTTTTGGAGTAATATGATTAGAATGGAAACTGTGGAGATTTGGCTAGACTAGGAACTACAGTAGTATATATTTTGTTTCTAAGTAAACATGTAAATTCATTACTTTGAGTTGGGGGGGAAAGTCACATTTAGAACATTGCTTATGCAGTTGTGTTTCTTTAACTGAGCCCAGGAGGTACACCAGAAGTGTATCTTGTTATTCTGTTAGATTTCAAGTGATAAATGAGATATACAATACTTATGTAGAGTAGCTCAAGGTGTTTGAGAATAGATTTTGCTTGCAGTAGTGGTTATCTGTAGTAAACTTTAACAAAAACTCCAAGCAGTCAGATGTACTTGACATTCAAATAAATACTCAGGAGAGCATCAAGAGTAGCTATCAAATAACATGCTCTCATATAAATCAGTTATAGTAACATATGTTAATTAGCTTTGATGAGAACTAAACTGTTTCTTTGTAAGCTATATTTGCGTGCTATTATAATACATTTAGCTTTGGTCAGTTCTTCAAAATGATTGACATGAAGATGTATCTGATTTAGGTAATGGAATGGCAAAATATGTATATGCTTACAGTGTTTAATAATACACACACACACAAATTTTCTAGGACTTCATTGCTATCCTTGGCTACATGGAGAATCAGTTTCTGATAAATGAAGCAACATAATTTCTTCTACTAAAAATCTGTAGTCTAATTCATTTCATAATAATTCTGAATTTAATGTCAACTGAATGTTGATAGAAAATCAAGAAAATTGGAGTCTCTGCTTAATCTGTTCAATCCCCTACTAAATAAAAGAAAAACCTAAATCATATATTGTACATGAGAGCTCTACTTTGGTGCAAAACTTATTTTTGAAAGTAGTGTGGATGAATTTGTCCCAGACTCATTCTTGTAATGCGGAGACAATAGAGACATGGTAGCTCATGCATTGGGAACAGAGGGAGGTTGTACCTCATCCCAAAATTATGAATTTATTGATTACATAACTTCATATATTGATAGTGTCAAAGCTAGCTATCATACATAAACTCTTATCCATGTTTTGAGGGCAATAATATCACAATATCTTGAGTCAAGTTTCATATGCACTGTCATAATGATATCTGAGGATAGACATAATATTACTTTAAGAGAAATGCCATGGCTCAAAGGATCAGGCCCTTCTTATGGTCCTGAAAGGCTGAGGAAGTGTTGATTTGAGCTCTGTTTCTAGCTATATTACATGTCAATGTCATTTCCCTTCACAGCTAGAAAAAAAAACTCTAAATAAGCATATAATCCTTTCAAAAGCAATGTTATTTGACATTAGAAGGCATATGATAGCATTTTAACATATGGATTGTCTCTGACATTGAAAGGCAAAATAACTGTACCATTGTATTCACTTTCTGTGTTTAGTATTCTGTCAGTCATTTTGCTTGTGGAATCTTCTTTTCACATTTTATCAACCAATGTAAACATCAGTAAAGTAAAAGAAAATGTTTACACACAATGACAAACTTACTGTATAAAGTTGCTGCTGGAAAATTTATAATCTTTCCTCTAGTTTTCCTGGCAGCAAATTCAGGTAGGAGATTATCAAAGATCATTTCTCCCCAAAGATCCCATTCTACAGAGAGAAGGGATAATAAATGGCAGGCTTGACTGCAGCCATTATCTATTTTTAACAAAGGATAGATTTTATAATTCAATTTCTTTACAATTACTACAAAAGTAGTAATTATCCCAGCAGCTATCTATGTATGTTCACTGTACCCTGTTGAGGACAATCTCTGTGCCTACTTGCCCAGCATTAATGGCATGCCCTGTATGCTGTAATTAACATAGTTTTAGCTTACAGAGGCAAGAAGTCAGAAGTGTAATATTTACCGTACAGTATATGTGTGTATGAGATCCAAAAGTGT